GGGGGAGGATGCTCAATTCTCAGAAACTATTTTATCATGAACTGTGTCTTCAATTCCGATTGTTATCACCATACCTTTTTGGATATACTAGAGATCCGAGATTTACGCTCTTGAAGTTCGTGGGTGGAGAGCACGCGTGCAGTTCAGATTCAGTTCACGCCATCGTGATCGAAGATCTGGAACTGCCTAGTCGCTTGGCGGAGCGGATATTCCGACACCCCGTTTTAACAATAGATTCTTCCATTTAGTGGCATATATCTCTCCAACAAATGGCTCCACCCTTTTTTCTTTCGCATTTTCTGTTTTCTGCTTTATTCGTTCTCCTTCTCTTAAAATAGAAATAGGAATAGCAGAACAAAGCGAAAAGAAAGACTAGTAGTAAGGCAAGTTGAAAACAAATGTTGGAGCCATGTTGGAAGCACCTCAGCAGTTGCACGCGATTATTTGGTCTCACAATCAGCATCGCGGAAGCGATGGCGCCTATTCATTTTTACCCGGGGAAGCGAAGAAAAGCTGATCTTATCATTGTATTATAACCTGTTACAGATTTTTCCGAAGCTTAGCACTGGGCCGCCTCCAATTGGCATCTTTCACAGTCCACGATCGGTCGCTCGTGAGATGGGTCCGCGACCAGCCGCGGTCGCTCGTGAGATGGGTCCGCGACCAGTCGCACGACCGATCGCGCGACTGGTCGCCAGTCGCTAGCGACCGGTCGTGAACTATGAAAGATGCCATTGGGGGCTCTAAAGTAATTACTGTGCCCAATCAAGATTTTTTCGTAGATATTAAACTCGTTTTTACATTTTACTCTACATAGCGCTTTATGTTACTGATACACCTGTTATTTCATATACTCACAACAACCCTCTCGTATTTTTCCTACTCTATGCATCTGTTTCATAACATTATCTTTATAATGAAAGGGTTTTATAAAACTACTCTGGCAGTGAATATCTGTAATGGAAATCCTATCGTTTTAATAAAACCGATTTTCGCTTATTCAATACGTGTTACACCAATCCTTGTTGTGAAATGAATCTACTGGTCAACAAACATTCGCCACTTCCCCGAATTTACGGGGTTCGGGGAAGTGGGGAGTGTTGCTTGAGCTGTGTGACTCTTTTCGTGTATTTTTTT